TTCTAGGTAAAACGTTTATCATTTTAACGGCAAAAAGAAAAACTGTTGGAAAATGAGAGCATTGATTTAATCATCGGTTAAGAACTAAATTTTTTCTTTGCCTTTTTTTTTGGTTTTTTTTTTTGCAGGCTTTTGAAGAAAGCAAGAAAAATCAAGTTATTGGCAATATATTTTCACTGTAACATAAACACCACAATCATCACCGGCAACAGTAGCAACAGTTTTGGGCTCCCGTCGACAGACGATTGATACTATACACGTTATACACAAATACAAACACAAAAAACATTTACAGAGACCGTTCTTCAATTCAATTCTGATTTTCTGCTTCTTGTTTTTGTTTTTTTTGCTTGTTTTTTTTTCTTTCCCCAAATACTGCCTATCGCGGGGACAGATCGTCTAATCTCCAGTCTCTATGGATCATATGTGGATGCCAAATGCAAGTAAGATGATGATGATCGACGTTGGTTTACCTACCGATAACCCGTGGACAATCTATAATACTGAAGCTGCACCGAATGTCGCCTCTTGTGAGGCAGATTCCACACAGTTAAATGCCAATTCGGGAACACAGCCGAATCATGATAACGTCAAAGTGGAAACCAAAGATGGCGAAAATGTAAGCTGTACTTTTCAGAACATTTATTTTTGGGCTGTCGGAGGCTCAAACCTAGGCACAGTAAATGGGATACGGGATTAGGTTGGGCGGTCCTTAAGCTATTGAAAAAATTAAATGATAGTTTGATATGATTTGATATGGTATATTGCGACGTGATGTGTCGTGTGTGTGTATGTGTCTGTGTGTTGGTGTCTGCGTGTGCGTGTGTGTGTCTGTATGTGTGTCTGTGTGTGTGTGTATGTATGTATGTATGTAATGTATTTGTAAACGATGGAAAAGGTGCTGCTGGTAGCAACAGCGGTTGCACTTCTTTGTACTGTGGAAAGGCTGTTTTTTGGTCGGAACGGAAATGGTGGAGATGGAAGAGGAAAAAAAAGAGGTGGAGTGAAAACTGGGGTCTGGGGTTAGAGGAGTCTTGTTGTTGTTATGCAGCTTTGCCCCGCAGACTTTTAACAAAATTTTGGTGTCGGTATCAGTGTTTCAGGTTTGGATCAACAGCAAAGCACTAAACAAATGTACAGTGTTTTTGATATTAAGAAAAAAAAGTCTACACATATACTTACTTTTTTTTTGATTATTTCCAACATCAGCAAACGTTAAAGAACTGAAAGAAAGAAAAAATAGAAAAAGAAGAAGAAGAAGAAGAATACCGTCTTTTTTTTTTTCGTTTTCTGTGCTGCTGTTGTTGTTGTTCAAAAATTTTTAACTTTAACTGATTAGTTTTCGATGATTTTTATCAACAAAACAAATCTATGCAGTTTTTTTGTTGTTGCTGTCTGCTCTGTTATTTTGTTTTGCTTTCTTTTGTCTCTACTTAGTTTTTTTTTCTTGTCATTCGACGTTTCCTTCTAAATAACTACTGATTTGGTGAACAGGAGACTTTTTTGTTGTTATTTTTTCTGGTCTTCTTCGTTTTCATTTACTCTGTTTTCACCAACAGCCTGTAGTTACAAATTTTTTTTGCAGCATAAAATACAGTTGTAACAGTACCGAATAACATATCAAAAGAAAAAGTTTTGTTTTTTGGTTTTCCTTTCTTTTTTTTTTTCTTTTTTTCTTTTTCTATGTCAGATTGAAAAATAAATTTTTTATTTCGGCTAAAGTTACATATATAATCAAACATTTTAACACATTGCTATCACACAAATTACAGACAGATTTACTCAATTGTCAGCTCAATTTCGGTAATAAGTCAAAAAAATAAATGAGTTGTTATTGGTGCTAATAGAAAATTTTTTGACGGCTTCAGTGCAACCGTCTTCTGCTGTCTTCTTCAACCACTTCCCGGTCATTTCTTGTCAGAAAATAATTCTTCCTGTTTCTTCTCCTTTTTTTAGCAATAAATTTGATGAAAACCTTGTATCCAATGACGATGATGATGATTTTGACGATGATGAAGATGATGATGATAAAATAACATCAGACAGTTGTTGTAACAAATAACCAAATAGGCGCCAACAGTTACTGTTCAGATGCTGTTCAATAGCATCACAGAAACCGGGACTGAAACTGTAGTAATACCAAACCGTCCTATTTCATTTTAAAAACCAGAATACCGAAACTATGTTTCTTCAACAAATTCTGGATAATTTCTTTAAACTGGAAAACAACATCTTGGCAACAAA